GCTAATTTTTGTATTTTTAGTAGAGACAAGGTTTCACCATGTTGGCCAGGCTGGTCTCGAACTCCTGACCTCAGGTGATCCGCCCACCTCAGCCTCCCAAAGTGCTGGGATTACAGGCATGAGCCACCACGCCCAGCCTAGATGAGTTAGAATTCTTAAGATTTGGTTCAAAATGGAATCTAGCACCTGAATGAATATATTCTTTAAACTTTGCAGAGAGAGAATTTTCACATTAAGGCTCTCTCTGCTCCTGGATTTCTACCATGGAATGAAATAAGCCATAAAAAAGACAGAAATACCAAGTGAATGGCACTGGCCACATAAAACAGGCTGGAGGCTCATCACGTGTGCTGAGGTCCACTGTGGCCATGTGACCACCTCGATCTGGAATCTAAAAGTTAGGAGCACAGCAAAAAGAAATGATTATGGTTTAAAAACACATAATTCAGAGCCAGGCACGGTGGCACATGCCTGTAATCCCAGCACTTTGGGAGGCCGAGGTGGGTGGATCACCTGAGGTCAGGAGTTTGAGACCAGCCTGACTAACATGGTGAAAAACCTTGTCTCTACTAAATACAAAAAAATTAAGAAAAGAAAATTAGCCAGGCGTAGTGGTACATGCCTGTGATCCCAGCTACTCGGGAGGCTGAGGCAGGAGAATCTCGAATCCGGGAGGTGGAGGTTGCAGTGAACCGAGATCATGCCACTGCAATCCAGCCTGGACAACAAGGGACAACACGAGTGAAACTCTGTCTCAAAAAAAACCAAAAAAACAAAAAAAAATCAATTCAGCAAAAACCAAAAGGCAATCAGTGAAGCGATTTATTTGATGTAGCATGTATAGTCAGGAATCTTTAGCTTTTATTTCTTGCACATATGGCAGTGGGGAGGGCGTCTCGGAAGCCCGTCTTAGGTGGGGATCAGGTGCCGTCGCCCCGCCAGCAGTTGTGGCCTAATTGATATGTTTCGTTGCCCACTTGAAAGTGTCCAAGAGGAGTCAGCCCTCAGGGCTTCCTGCCAAGCGCCTCTCTCAGGCTCTCCCAGGCCTACGTGGACTCTGTGTTCCTGTGCAGCAGCCACCGGGGGCAGGTCTCAGCGCCGCTCACGGCCACCACGGCCATCCCAGGTTTCATCACTGTGGCCCCTCTCTGAGGACCTGCCAGGACCCTGTGAATTCTCCAAGCACACAGCACCCAGCTCACCTGGAATCGGAATGCCCTTGCACTGGCGTCCTTATTAGCACCATCTTCATCCTTAGCTCCATTTCTGCAACACCGGGGATGGTGTGTCCTCACCCGTCACCCCTCGTGACGTATATATGGCAGTCATTGCTACCTGTGACATTCACGGTTCATGCCAGGAAATCACAGCACTGCAGCCAATGACTCCTAAAGCCCCAGCTCTCAATAAACACACAAAACACTCCTGCTCCTCCCTCGACACGAGTTCGCTTTGACCCTTCCCGTTTTCATAGCTTTGTGTGGCCAATCAGTACTCCCAGAAAAATAGCAAAGTCACACTGTGCAGACTTGACTTAGGAGGCCGGAGAGCAGTGGGGTCAGAGAGCGAGCGACGCAGATACAGGGCACCTGCACTCGAGTGTTCTGTAGCCAGAAGCAGTACTTGAGCCCTCTGGCTTCATTAACCTCATTAGAAAATGGAAACAAGTCCGGGCTATGCTGCAGAAGCGAGGGGTGCCACAGAGTGCTCTCCCAGGCAGTGATGCGGACGGCTGTCCAGAGGGCCCCAGCAGTCCCCTCTGTACTAGGGACGGTCAGTGTCACCTTGCTGCAGACTACAGACCCACAGAGGCAAAGCTGCCTGGGCGGGTGAAGGTGCATGGGCTTCTGTGTATGTGTGTGTGCATACGTGTGTGTGTGTCCACAAATTTGTGCATAGGTGTGGTGCTTGGGGTGAGTGTATATGCACACTTGTGTATGTATGTGCATTGTTTGTGTGCCTGCACATACCTGCCGTGTGTCTGCCCAGGTCAGTGTGAGTGTGCAAGTCGGACCATCACCCCACCGTCCCCTCTGATCAGTCCCGCCTGTTTTAATGAAGAGCACGTGAACAGACAGACAGCCTTTTACATTCTGTGTGTGTCCTCAGCACTGACCTCTGACAAGTCTAACTGGCCTTCTCTCCCTTCCCTTTTAGAGGGTGTTGGTCCAGGCAGCCAGCTCCGCTCCCAAAGGGGCCCAGATGCAGCCGATCTCCCTCCCCAGAGTTCAGCAGGTACCCCAGCAGGTAATGACAAGCACCGCAGCACCATGCACACCGGGGCGCAGTTAGCACTCGGCGATCTGGAACAATCTCTGAAGCATGCATCCTTTTCTGTGGCTGCTGTTTCTTGTTGTAAGCTTCAGTTTCTTAGCCAAAAGGCTTTTCCAGAAGCTGTACAATTAAAAGAAAAAAACATTTACTGCAGATAGTTTTGCAACAAGCCAAGAAAGCTGGTGATCTTTCATTCATTCAGAAATTCAACAAGCATTCGGGAGCCGGTGAGCACCCCACGCCTGTGGGTGGAGCTCAGGTAGAAATGCAGACAGAAACAAAGGGCTCTGGACTGGAGGAGCCATCTGCTAGTGAGTGCCATACCCTCGGATGCCGGCACAACGGAGGGAATGCTGTTGACGATTTCAATGATCTAAGAACAGAGTTTGAAAGCACGGCTGACCAGCTGAGTAGCAACACAGATCATCAGCTTGGGGGCAGTCTAGAACATGGTTAGCAAACTGTTCCAGAAAAGGCCAAATTATACATTTTGGGGGGTTTGTGGTCCAGGCAGTCTCTGGAACAACCACTCAGTTCCGCCATTGTATTGCAAAAGCAGCCATAAATGATACGCAACCAAATGGGCGTGGCTGTGTGCCAATAAAACTTTATTTACAAAAACAGGCAGTGGGCCAGAGTTTACCAACTCTGCCCTGCAGAATCCTGAATTAAAGTTAACTCAGGCTCCTCCCTAAAAGGAGCCCTGAGGCCCTAGAGGTTGCACCACTCTTCAAGAGGGTCTTGCCTAGATTGGCAGTGTGTTCACAGGCATTTGTCAGGTGACTATGTCCATGAGAACTAGGAAGGTTGCGGGATCACAGAAAGGAAAAGGCTCCAGACAGGCCCAGTGTGGACCCAGGGCCTCAGGCCAGTGGCTCTGTCTTAGCTCCTATCTGTCAAGGCACTCCCCAGAGACACCATGGAGAGGAGACAAAGACTAATGTATGATTCCAGAAGCTTCCACCACTTTTCTGGTGCTGGGCCTGCCCCAGCTCTTTCTGTAACTTCTGCATTTCACTTGGTCTCCTAGAATTCGACCTTTGACTTCCACCCCTGGGGGCACCACCCAAGAGATGTTAACCCCTAGGACTTGTGATTCTGGGGATGGTGCGTTGGACAAGTGCATACCATGCTCAGTGGTCCTGGGAGGGGCAGGTCAGCCCCATCCTGCAGCCTCAACCACAAGGTCACCATGACACCATGACACCCGAGCAAGCCCACTGCTGTGGCCCTCCATCTTCTCACCCCAAAATTCAGTGGACGTAGGGAGCCACTAAGATACCCTCTGGGGTGAGAGTTTGAAGTCCCATGTGCAAAGCATTTGGCTTCCACTGCTCTGCTCAGGCTAGAGTCCCTCGGGGCCTGTCAGCTGGGGCTCTGAACTGATGTTTCAGCGAGGGGAGGACAGGGCAGCGGGGGTGTGCTGGGGTCCCCCCATTGCCCCATCTTCCCAGGCATGCCGCTCCTTCCCACTCTGTTCAGACCGTCACATTCTCTCCCCTCCTCTCTGCCATTGAAGGGGCACCAGGGCCACCCACAGGGGGTGTTGGGGCCATGTAGAGTCGAATCCACTTGGCCCCCTGTACACTGCAGCCTGCACGCCACCCTGAGCCACAGACGGAGACCCTGTCGCAAAAAAACAAAAACAGAAAGCAGGGACAGCCCTGTGAGCCAAGGCTGGGCCTCTGTCCACAACTCTAGTTTCCACTGCACTGGAGGGGCGCTGTCATTCTCCTGGTCCCGCCCCACGTATACAGAGGAGCCAGGGCGTACAGACACGCTAGCAGAGCTCTGGGGATCAGTCGCAGCTCCCTGAACTGTGTGGGCCCGTTTGGAATATGTCGTCTGTACATTACTGTCTCCTCAGTGTCTTTCTAGGCGTGCCGACTGTGGGCGGGAACACTGTCATTTGGTACTAAATGTTCATAAAGGCAATAGAAGACACATCTAGCTTGACTAATCTGCAGGCAACAAGTGAGAGCACGACAGGCGGTAACACAGCATATCCCATGTTTCAGGTGCAGCCAGCGCAGCACGTGTATCCTGCCCAGGTGCAGTACGTGGAAGGGGGAGACGCCGTCTACACGAATGGAGCCATGTGCGTGCTTCTCCCGCAGGCCACACCCAGAACCCTCTCCCTGACTCCAGCCTTTGCCACCTGGGGAGGCATTGAACAAATTCCTCTCCCTTATGCTTTTGGTGATGTGTTCACTAAATACTATTAAAACACTATTAGAAACCTGGGCAACATCTCTACAAAAAATTTTAAAATTAGCCAGACATGGTGACGAGTGCCTGGAGTCCCTCCCAGCTAGTCGGGAGGCCAAGGTGGGAGGATTGCATGAGCCCAGGAGTTGGAGGCTGCAGTGAGCTATGATCATGCCGGACTGATAGAGCAAGACCCTGTCCAAAAAAAAGGGAGCAGGGTGGGGGGTGAGGGATTAGGACATCATAACCCTGTGGAGATTTCAGAAATCACAGACTTTTGTACTTTTTACTTTTAGAAAAGATAGTCTTGGGGGTAAAAAAAAAAAAAAAAAAAAAAAGGCTAATCCTAACTCTTCATTGTGAAGTCAGTCTTTGAGATCCAGAAACCATCCACCTCTGTGTGTTTTTCCCCCGCCTCTGTTGAACTCTAGCTTTGTATCATGTTAATAGAACTTGACTTTCCGTGTTGCAATGCCGCTGGAGATTTCTGCTCTGTGACTGTGTGGTGCTTGGGCAGGAAAGTATGCGTCTCCCCTGCAGCTCACTTTACTTTACATGTGGCTCCTTTCGCCTGCTTGTCTGTTTCTGTTTGGCCGGGATGCTCCCCTCACAAGTGCAGGGGCTGTGCACGAGAACCTGGCTGTGGCTTCAGGGTTGTGATTGGTGGAGTTATACGATTCTCTAAAGCGTGATGTTGAAGGTTGTGAAACACACAGAAACACAGTAAGTGCATGTAACACCAGTGACATTGGAGCAAGGTCTGTAGGTCCTACCAAGGCCACGGTCTTGGTTTTGATACTGTGCTACAGAGTTATGGACGTCCCCCTGGGTTAGGGTTAGGGTGCAGGAGTGCACGCCTCCGAGAGGTCAAAGGGGCCTTCCTGCCACCCAGAGGGCCTGCCCCTAGCACGCATCACAAACC